CCTGTAAGACAACTTACAGAGAAGCCCAACAATCCTATTACATTAAGCCCTGACGTTAGAGCCTAGTAAACTACTGAGAAGAAGAACACATGTCTAATACGTATGCACCAAACTGTGGTCTGAAGGAAAAACTCAGCCGACTAACTCCGTCGCAGCAAAGCACACTCCGACCAACTTGATCCAGATTTGTTCCCATCTCCTCTATTTGTACTTGATCTTCCTTGGTACAACAAACCCCATGAGAAATCACTCAGATTTCTCCAAACTTGTTAAAAGAATCCATTTCCGACCACCTCAAGGCTCATGACACCACCTCACTACCTTTGTCATAGGCCCATGACCATTCATCCATGGAATAGCAAAACTAATTACTCTCTACCCGAGAAGATTAGAGCATAAGAGAAAGTTGAAAAAACTCAATTTCAATTAGAGTCTCAAGTGGTCCATAAAACGTGCGAGTGAGACTCGTTTCAATTAGTTCTCCGGTTCACGTTTGATTCGATTTAACCGACTGATTAGACTAGTCAATTCCAAAACTGGTAATAGGTGGATTAGTGGCTAATTTATTTCATATATCTAAAGCAGTTTTGTTCTTCACCAACTATTTTTTCTTTACACACCAACTAATGTCGCACTAATGTTTTCATCATATAAAAATTACGGCCAACCATCAAGATATGTTCTTCTTTAATCCAATGGTCACAAATATTTTTTGAAAAAAAACTATTATGATAATTACTTTACAATTTACACATCTTCTGCATATTAATTGAGGAAACACTAAGAAAAAATCATGTGTCATTTAAAGAAGATTTTAAGGGACACATCATTAAAATTAACCAATCATATCATTTCAATTGATACTATATGCCATGACAGAATTTCTACATATTTTCCATATAACATAACTCACTAATATATATTCTATAAAATTTATGTTCAACTAAACGTAACATCAAAGCCAAAAAAAAAGATTTTAGTATACTATTTAACACCTACAAACATATAAATAGACACATCTAGGATCTACATATTATACATCTTAATCTCTCAATTAC